CCGCTTCTCACCTTCTTCCAGGGGCTCTTTTCCTGAGGGCTGGGCCTGGAAAGGAATAAGGACAGAGTGGGCGAGAGAGAGAGGAATTTTATGCCATAGATGAGCCCTCTCAATAGCTGCAAGCAGGAGCAGAGCTGGGGCAGCTCATCTAGAGAGGGGCGGACTCAGAGAGCGAAAGGTGCCGATTGTCCCTCTACCTGGCCACCCCTCCTGCTGTTCTGTCCCCTCCTGTGCTGATTTTTTTTTTTTTTTGTAGTGCTAAGGATTGAACTTAAGGCTTTATGCATTCAAAGGAAACACTCCACCACTGAACTATATACCCAATCCACATCTGAATCTAATTTTTGGCGGTGTTGCGGGAAGGGAACAGACAAGATTTCTCGCATGCTAGGCAAGTCCTCTGTCGCTGAGCTCAGCCGCAGCTTTGCTTCTTTCCTTTTCTCTTCTGTCTCTTTAAGAGTGTTTTCTTCTTAGACTTCTATTGTTTTTCTTTCAGGTATAAAAAAGAATATACCGTTATCGCCTGGCGGTGGTGGTGCACGCCTTTAACCCCAGCACTCGGGAGGCAGAGGCAGGTGGATCTCTGTAAATTCAGGGCTGGCCTAGTCTTTAGAGCGAGTTTCAGGACAGCCAGGGCTATAGAGAAAGAGAAACCCTGTCTTGGAAAACAAAACAAAAAAAGCCTTTTTTTTCATAACAGGAGGGGGATGGTATAAAAGGGATGGTTAGGGGGTACGGGGGTATAGGTTCAATAGGCAATATATATACTTAAATGCATTTTGTTTGAGACAGGGTCTATCAGTAGCCCTGGACATCCTTCCTATATAGAAGACCCAGCTGGCTTAGAACTGATACACCTGCTTCTGCATCCTGAGTGCTGGGATTAAAGGCATGTGTTACCACGCTCAACCTTAAAATGTTTTCGTCTTTTCTTTTTCTTCCTTCCTTTCAATTATAGGACAGGCAGATTGAGACTGTTTTGCTAGACTGTGTTGGACGGGATCTTGGTACAGTTGAGAGGCTTGTTGACATGATTGACGTGGGGGTCTCTTGGGTGGGGAATGAAGAAGATTCGTCCTCAGAGTTACAAACCAAAGAGAGTGCAGAACTCCCGGGGATTCTGAAACATGCCTGGGGTGTGTGTCATAAGTAGCTTGTCGATGGTCCTGCTTGCTGCGCCGCCATTCCTGGCTTTCATCCTGGAGATGGGTCCACTCTTGCCTCGGGACTGCAGTGCCGATGGAAGCAGAGAGGAAAAGTTTCCACCTTTCAGTTTTTTTTTTTTTCTCAGAATTTGCCATCATTGCATCCAATCTGCCATTCACCCCTTTAAACAGCTCGAGTGTTTGATCTCGACAAACCTCAGGTACACCGATCTTCACACGCACCCTACCATCCCCCATGGCGCTGGCTGGTTAGCAGAGGGTGCCTCCACAGCCTTGGGAACCTCAGGGATTTGCCTTGGTTCCTTCTCAGGTGGAGGTCTCTAGTCTTGGTGGCTTATTGTTCTGTGTCCTGAGACTGGTGTTTTATTGAAATTGGTTTTGTCTGGATGAATAAGTAGTCCCTTAAATACACTTTAGAGAAGAGCTGATATATTACATTTTTTTTTACTATAAAAATAATGTTAACTTCATCCACTGCACATAATTTAGCAAACAGACATGAGGATAAATTACTTATGCTTTTCATTACTTTCCAATGTTAATCTTTTGTATAACTTTGGCCAAGCTGTTTCTAAAATACAAGACATCAAATGAACACAAATCCATGCTCTGTTCTCTTAATTCTGTCCCTTGCTAGGTTGTTAGCATGCTTCCAAAGACAACATATGTTCCATTTGCCTTACTCCACAGAGAAGAAAAAAAATAATGAACAGGAGACCATTTGGTCAACTCTCATTGGCTGACATTTAGAATGCCACTATTTCCAGGATGGTCAGGGAAGGCCAGTTTGAGTTTGATTGTAGATCTTAAACTGTTTCTTTTTCTTTTTCTTTTTTCTTTTGGGTGGGGGAGTTACCTCAGGTTGAGTCAGGTCAGAAGGATTATTCTTGCTTTAAGGGCTGTATCAGCCTCCAGAGCTGTTGGATCCCCACGTCCGCATGTGTGGAAACACATTGCCTATAGCTGCTTCCCAGGACTAGCTATCTCACGGAAGAACTTCTGCTGTTTCAGCTGGGCCTGGTACCCAGGCCTGTCATTCCAGTTCCCAGGGAGGTGGAAGCAAGAGGATCACATGTCTATGGCCTGCCAGGGCTATATAGCGAGTTCAAGGCCAGGCTGGGCAGTTTACTGATACTACTGATACCCCGTCTCAAACAAAACAAAACACCAAATGAAACAAAACACCAAACCAAGCCAAACACAAAGTTTGGGGCTGTAACTCAGTGGTACCCTGTTTGCTTAATGTGCCAGAAGCCTTGGTTGCAATCCTTGGTGGTGATCATGGTGGGAAATTAACAGTGTGAGTTACCTCTTTACTGCTTCCTCCTCTTCTTTTTCTACCTTTTTTTTCTGGAAATAAAAACCAAGTGTTATTTGGAGCGTTAACCCCAAGACCTAGAACCAGAACACACTCGAGCACTGAGCAGTCCCAACTCAGACCCGCAGAACTTGAGTGGTGGTGGCCTTAGCTGGCACCAAATGCCCAGCCTGGGAGGCCCAGCTCGGATCCTCGTGCCCCATCTCATTCCTTTCCCCCAACCTTAGCCAGGCTTGTCTGCTTGTGGGGAGCAGCCCTTTTGACTTGTTTGATAGGCGTCTCTTCTATTGATATATCCAAATCCACGTCTTCATCTTCCTCTTCCTCCTCCTCCTCCTCCTCTTCGTCCTCTTCCTCCTCTTCCCAGGGTAGGTCTGAAGTCTCTGTAATGGCATGGGAGGTAGGCAGGGATAGGGCAGGGTGGGGAGAAAGCAGAACATCTGAGTTGATGCCTGGCTCCTTCCCCACCATCCCTTCCTGCTCTGAGTTTAAACCCACGTGAGCATGCGACCACCTTCTGCAGCGAGCCATATCCTTTCTGTCCCTTCCTCCAGTAGGGCCCAGGGTGAAGCAGGGGACAGGAAGTCTCCATGCAGGCTAGGGGAAGGAGGGCAGGCAGGAGGAGGATGTGTATTGAGAACTGACTGGGACAAGGCTAAAGGTGGACAAGCAGGGGAGGGCGAGGTAGATGATGGGGTTACAGTATTGCTTGGCTCTCCAAGGTTCATGTACTAGAAACCTGGTCCCCAGTGTGCCATGTTGAGGTGGTGGAACCTGTTCAGAGGTGATGTCTAATGTGAGGTGGATCTTCTTGGGTTTTTGTTTGTTTGTTTGTAGCCCTGGCTGTCCTGGAACTCACTGTAGACCAGGCTGGCCTCAGACTCAGAGAGCCACCTGCCTCTGCATTCTGAGTGCTGGGATTAAAGGGGTGCAGTACTATCACCAGGCTGTGAGGGGGATCTTAAAAGGTGACAACATGGCAAGTGGCTTGTGTTGTTGACCATGTTACCGCTATAGCTTCATGCCTACTAGTAGCCAATCTTTGACATACTCCCAAATTCTAGTTCGAGTTAAGAGTTTCTCTTTTTGGAGCTAGGGTCTCGCGATGTAGCTCAGGCTGGCCTTGAGCTGAGATTCCAGGCTGTGTCACCAAGGCCAATCTTGGAAGACCCTGCTTATCCTGCAATATTCTCTGAAGCTGAAACAGGGGCCACACTACTCTCAGACACGGCTCAGGCCTGAGGCCCACAGCAGACATGGAAAGGCAAGCAAAGAGTTAAGGCTACAGCCTTGCCACAGCCTTCTAGTTTAGTTCACTGGCAGTCATTTGCCCTTGGAGGGGTTATAAAAAAAAAAAAAAAGCCAAGACTCTCCTAAGGCCTCAGGTACCCAGGACACCTCAACTTACCATAACATTCCTGGCCGCTGAGGAACACAGGTCCTGAACCAGCCCGGAGCCGGAAAGTCACTGGAGGGCAAAGCTCCACACCTGTCATTGTGACCTGTAGTTGGAAGGGACCTCAGAGCAATGTAGAAGGGGACCTCAGAGCAATGTAGAAGACACAGGTAACTCAACCTGGTCACACCATGATGTCATCCCAGCATTGAAGAGGCAGAGGCAGGAGGATTTTAAGTTCTAGCCGGTCTGGGTGACATGAGTGAGACCATCTCAAAACAAAACAACCCCAGACACAAAATGATCCTCTTCCCAATACAGCCACAGTGTGAATTAATCTCTTTTCTGTTTTTCACTGAAGAAAAGAGAGAGAGAAAAAAAAAGCTGGTTGTGGCACACACCTTTAATCCCAGCGCTGAGGCAGAGGCAGGTGGATCTCTGTGAGTTCAAGGCCAGCCTGGTCTACAGAGCAAGTTCCAGGACAGGCAGGGCTACACAGAGAAACCCTGTCTTAAAAAACAAACAAAGAAACAACAACGTCGAAAAGGAATTCAGTGGTGCACACCTGTATCCCAGCACTTGGGAGGAGGGACAGCCAGAGGACCACTGATCGTTTGAGGCCATTTTGGACTGGGTCTCAAGGAACAACAGGAACAACAAAACGGAAACAAAGGAGAGGAAGAAGTGAGATGGCTCAGCGGGTGGATGTTCAGTGAGGAAAGGGCCCTGCTGAGTAAGCCTGGCAGCCGGAGCTCAGGCCCTGAACTCACAGCAGGCTTGAGGGGAGAAGAACTCCACGAAGCTGTTCTGATAGTCACATGTGCACTGTGGCATGTTCACCCCCCCGCAACCCACCCCAGAGGAATCCTTAAGTAAAGAAAGATGTCAAGCTGGGCTCGGGTGGCAGAGGCAAGCAGATCCCTGTGAGTTTGAGGCCAGCCTAGTTTACAGAGCAAGTTTCAGGGCAGCCGTAGCTACACAGAGAAACCCTGTCTCCAATCCCTGCACCCCACAAAAGATGTCAACATATTAAAGTGAATCAAGAATATCAAGAATTCACATGATTAAGTAAAGGACCCAAAAGGCTCAAATGCTATTCTATCAACCTAACGGTATGTACAGAGTGATGGGATGTGGAGGAAGGACCTGGGATCAAGGGAGTCAAAAACATTTGAGGGGCTGGAAAGGCCTCTGTGGGAACCAGGTTCAAATGTGTGTGCAGACATATGCAGGCAAAACACTCACACAGGGAAAACAGAAATAAGTAAAAACATCTTCTTTAAAAAGCAGTTGATGACGTTTAAACTCCCTATTCATGAATAAAAATAAAAGCTTTTAAGTCCAGGAGGACTAGATGGAGGCTTCATTCATTTGGTGAAGGGTATCTGTCAATCCCCTCATGGAGAGTCATCTTAAATCAAGGAAGAGGAGAGGTCACCAGCTCACATTTATCTAATTACAGTTCCCAATTACTCTGGAGATTTGGCTTTACGGTGAAGCGAAAGTTAAACCCATTTGATGGAAAACACTTGAATTCTGAATTTTGATCTTTTCCTAGGCCAGTGATAATTGTGATACGATCCTGTGGAGTCAGGGCCGTGGCAAAGAGCTCCACGACGCCCCCCCCCCCTCGCCCTGCTTTCTCAAAGGCGAACACACGATGCTTCCACAGCAAGTCAGGGGGCTGAACTAGGGTGTGTCATGGGGTGAGCATAGTACAGGCTTTGCCCAGTCGTGAAAGTTTTCAACTTACAAACCTAGTTTTAAGTCAGGGAGTATTTGTATTATACCAAAAGTCCTAGCCCATGGAGCAAGGCAGTGAGGTTTTCGGAGAGGGAAAAGGGCCCGGTGTCTTGGCACATATCTGTTATCTGTAATCCCAGCACCAGAGAGGGCGAGGCAAAGAAAGTTATAGTTTTGTGGTTATGAGAGCCTGTCTCGAACACACAAGGGCAGGCGAGATGGCTCAGCAGGTGAAAGCCCCTTGCTGCCTAAGTCTGGCAACCTGAGTTCGATTCCTGGAACCCACAGCAGGAGAGACTCAGCTCCTGGAAAACTGACCTCTGATCGCCACACGTGCTACGGAAACACACACTTGCCCCACCCCCGAGGAATTTTTAAAAACCTTCAGACTACAACCCGGCCATTATTCACGAATAATGATTCATTGTGTACAGCATGCGATTCATCGCTAGAAGGAAGAGCATCTCCAGACACACGACCCAAAAGCAGCTCCCAACAATGTCTTGCTGACTAGTAGTCAATCGCTCAAACGTGACACTATGGGAAAAGATATTTGGCTTGTTCCTGTTTGCTTCTGGGAAGCAGGAATTGGGATGGCTGTCCACTGTGGTCAGGGCCATGCTGCCTTCCTAGCATGGCTGTAAGCCCAGGGCATGAAGGCACCTACGTTTATGTCCAGGCCCCTTGGAGGGTGACGTTGAGCAGATAGCTTCCCTGGGCCCGAAGGGAGAGACTCACCATAGGCAGGACAGAGGCCTTCAGGGACGCAATGGTGACTGGCGATTTTCTGTCTTCCTGGCTTGCTGGGGGCAGGATTTCCACGCGATTCACCTCCTCTTTGGCTTTCTCCCCCAAGCAGATCTGAGAAGGGGATGATGGGAGAAAGCTGTTACCTCTTGAGACCAGAGAACCGCTCCTGTCCCAGCCTTCCTTCATTCCTGGGGAGACACCCACCGTGCTGAGCAACAGTTTACAGCTGTCCTTCTCCGCTTGGGGTTTAAAGGTGCAAATCAGCTTGTCCTGATTGAGCTCACCACCTACATGGAGAAAAAAGGCAGCGTGGGGTTGGGAGGCTCGTGGGCTGCCCCACATCAGGGGCACAGTTCACCAGCAACCCCATTCCACCTTTGCTGGGGACAGTCTTACCCTTACCCCAAAGTATGGTCTTTGATGTGTTTTCGGTCACACTGCTGGTGCTTTGGCGACTCATGGAGCTTTCCTGGGTAGCTTGATGCAGGTGTTGGGGGACAGAAGCGAGTCAGTGGTAAGGCAGGGTCCTGAGTCTCTGCTTCGGAACGCAACTATTTTATCTCCTGAGTAATGCAGAAGCTAAACTCACAGCCCTCTGTAAGGAAGACTTGCTTGAGACCTGGGGAATTATGGCTATAGCCGGTAGCCATTGAAAACCCCTAGAGGCCAAGTCGTCCACCCCTGCCGCCCCTCTTCCCCAGGGACCTGATCAGAGCATCCCCAGACCTGAGACAAACACTCAAAACAGCAGCGGAGAGAATGGTGATTTTGTCTAGCCCAAGTTCGGAAGCTTGCAGAGAGACTATCTGACAGCCTTGGGGTCCCTCCCAGAACCCCAGCGTGGAGAGGGAGCAGACACCAGGGTTGTGTCCAGTTGGCTCCAAGTCCAACTCATCCCCTGCTCAGGCTTACTGTGCTCCAGGCGTGTCCTCATCTGACGTCATAGATTCACCTAAGAGACCCGCTTCCCACACCAGGCTGTTAAGAAGCCTAGGGAAGAGGAGGGGAGGGACCCAATTAGCCTTAAAGAGGTAGCCCTTCTTCCTTCCTTAGTCCCCTCCTGAGCTGGAATCACCTGGCACTTGATTGTGGAGCATCACCTCCAGTGTTTCCCATTGAGCTGGTCTAGGTGGGGCCAAGAGAATTTGCATTTCCTACCAGTTTCCAGGTGAAGCTGCTGCTGTTGGCTTAGAAAGAGGCCCAACGCCAGAACCACTGTTCACAGCCAGTGGGGACTTGCTGAGCTGACCAAGAGAGAGGGTATCTTTGCTACTTGGGGACACTTGGTTTTCTGGCAGGAAGCACCGGCAATGACGACCATCCTACGTTTCTACCTAGAGGGTCTGAAAGTTGTAAGGCGCTCCACCTCTTTGCCAACGTATGGCATTGCTGGCGTTCTTAAATTTCGCCATCCTAGAGGGTATATTTCTTTTTTTTTTTAACATTTATTTATTTATTTAGTATACAATATTCTGTCTTTGTGTATGTCTGCAGGTCAGAAGAGGGTACCAGACCTCATTACAGATGGTTGTGAGCCACCATGTGGTTGCTGGGAATCGAACTCAGGACCTTTGGAAGAGTAGGCAATGCTCTTAACCACTGAGCCAATTCTCTAGCCCCTAGAGGGTACATTTCATTTAGTTTTTCTTTCCCTCCAAGGAAATGTTCTCCCACTGAGGTTATCTTCAGCCTGGTGGTGGTGTTTCATTGTAGTTTTCCATTTGCATTTCCTTGATGATAAAGGATGTTGAATATTAGTGATTATTGGTTATGAGCAAACTGACATTTTCAAAATGCATGTTCAGTTATTAAAATTGAGTTATTTGAGATTATTTTCTTATTGAGTTATAGAGGCTCTTTTTAAAAATTTATTTAACTTTATTTTATGTGCATTGGCATCAGATCTCCTGGAACTGGAGTTACAGACAGATGAGAACTGCCATATGAGTACTGGGAATTGAACCTGGGTCCTCTGGAAGAGCAGCCAATGCTCTCAACCACTGGGCCATCTCTCCAGCCTCCTAGAGGTGCTTTATATATACTGGATATTTGTTTTGTGTTAAATATATGTATTCCAATTTTTTTTTCACTCCAAATCATGTATAGTCTTTCTTTCTTTCCTTTCTTTCTCTCTCTCTCTCTTTCTTTCTCTCTTTCTACCTTCCTTCTTTCTTTCTTTCTTTCTTTCTTTCTTTCTTTCTTTCTTTCTTTGTTTGTTTTTGTTTTTTGAGACAGGGTTTCACTGTGTAACAGCCCTAGCTGTCCTGGAACTAACTCTTGTAGACCAGGCTGGCCTTGAACTCAGAGAGATCCGCCTGCCTCTGCCTCCCGAGTGCGGGGGTAAAGGCATGTGCCACCACCGCTTGGCTCCTTTTTTTTTTTTAAATGTGTAGCTGAGGCTCGCCTCGAACTCATGATTCTCCTGCCTCTGCCTCCTTCAGCAAATCCTACCACCATGCACCACCACAACCAGCTCTTTCCTTCCTTTTTGAGACAAGGTCTTGTTATGTGGCAAGGCTGTTCTTGAACTCAAGATTCTTTTGCCCTTCCCTCCCAAGTGTTGGGATTATAGGCGGGACCCACCACACCTGACTCTAATTTTAGCTTTGACTCTTAGTTGTATGATCTATTTTGGTTAACGCTAGGCATCCATCCTGGTATCCACTAGCCGTTTGTCTCTGACTCCAGTCCCTGGAAGATAAATTCCCAGGAACCCTGATTTAGTCACCCCCATGCAAAAATATACAATCTTGGCTGGGTGTGGTGGCACAGGCCTTTAATCCCAGCACTTGGGAGGCAGAGGCGGGCAGATCTGTGAGTTCAAGGCCAGCCTGGTCTACAAAGCCAGTTCCAGGACAGCCAGGGTAACACAGAGAAACCCTGTTTCAAACAAACAAACAAAAAAACAAGGATACATATATAGTTGTGCTATAACTGCTTTTATACTTCTGGAACCTGCTGCTGTAGGCATTCAGGACTATTTTGTGGTCACCTTGACTACTTGTTCTTGACAAGAGAACAGCTCCTGCCGCGTCTGTGCAGATGCTCAAGGTTGTCTTGTGGGTTTTACCTTTACAAACCCTCCCCTTGGGGCTGAGAATTTATCTCAGTGGTAGAGTGCTTGCCTAGGAAGTGCAAGGCCCTGGGTTCGGTCCTCAGCCCCGGGGGAAAAAAAAAATTCTCTCTTCACCCCCTTTCAGGAAGCAATCTCAACATTGGCTCAGAGATTGTTGTCTCGCTAGCAGCTTTAATAAATTGAACCAATTGTAATCCGGATTGATTTCCCCAGAGGTCATGACCTCCATAACATCTCCCGATGTGAAGGATGGCCTTGAACTTCTGGCCCTCTGCTTCCAGAGTATCTGGGACGCCAGACGCGTGCTATTACATCAGCTTGAGTTCGTTTTTATTACTGTGGTAGGAAAGGTTCAATGTTGACGTCTCGCCTCCTGTTTCTCCCCCAAATGCATATCCAGCTCCTCTAACACCAATTCTGAAAGAGCCCATCCTTTCCTCTTCCCTTGGCATTTTTTTATTTTATTTACTTATTTATTTTTGGTTTTTCGAGACAGGGTTTCTCTGTAGTTTTGGACCAGGCTGGCCTCGAACTCATAGAGCTCTACCTGCCTCTGCCTCCCGAGTGCTGGGATTAAAGGTGTGTGTCACCACTGCCTGGCCAAAACTTTCAGATTTTATTGAATACAGAGATCAGGCCTAGAGGATGTAATTTCATGGTAAAGTGCTTGCCTAGCATGTGTGAAGCACTGTGTTCTGTCTCTATAACAACAAACCACCGAAAAGCCCACCATGAAGACAATCGACATCACAGTGATTTTGGAGTCAGCGAGTTATGAACACGTCACAGTCTAAATCCATCTTGGCATTATTCAATAGCTTTTAGCACAGAGATAAAATTATTCATATATATTTCATGTTCTTGGATGCCATGAAAAATTTAATATTTTTAGTACGTACCGATAACCTTTATTTACCCCATCAGTGATTGAAAACAAATTTAGGCAGATTGAGGGTCTTGGGAAGGTTAAACAAGCATGGCATAAGACTGGCTTTTGTAGGAAAGAAAGGGAACTGGAGGTTTTCGTTCCCTAGGTGATGTGGAAGCGACATGTGGGAGAGGAACAAATGAGAAGAAAGTGTTGCACGGAGAACCATAACGAAAGCCATTGTAGAATAGCCAGGAAATAAAAAAAAAAAATCTGTGAGCAAACAACTGACTTTTAGGTATCTTTTGAGTTCCAGTGGGTTTATTATTATTATTTATTTATTTTTTGGGGTTTTTCAAGACAGGGTTTCTCTGTGGCTTTGGAGCCTGTCCTGCTGGAACTAGACCAGACTGGCCTCGAACTCACAGAGATCCACCTGCCTCTGCCTCCCAAGTGCTAGGATTAAAAGTGTGCACTGCCACACCTGGCCTACCTCCTTCCTCCCCTCTTCCCCTTGCTCTTTCTGTCCAAGACACAATATGTGTGTGTGTGTGTGTGTGTGTGTGTATATATATATATATATATATATATATATTTCTACATTGATCTTGAAGTTTGAAACTTCCTGTCTCAGCCTTCCAACTGTTAGAATTTCAGGTCACTATTACCACAGATAGCTTTTTGCTTTAAGGGGAAAGATTTCATTTTCACCTTCAAATATGCTGTTGGTAAGATTTTTGCATACCTTTTAAGTTAAGAATGTGTGTTGGGATTACACTCAGTACCACATAGAAGGCCCTGGGTTTGTTCCCCAATATTGCCACTCACAAAAAGATTCTATTCGTTCTTTGCTGAGTTATTTTTGAGATAAGGTCTCATATATTCCAAGCTGGTTTTGCACTCAGTGGGAATAATCTTGAACTTCTGATCCTTCTGCCTCCACTTCCAACGTGAATCCCTATGGTGGACTTTATGTTGCACTAGGGGCTGAACCCAATGCTAGGCTAGTACTCTGCCAACCAAGCAAGACATCATGAATTTAGAATTTCATAGCCAGGCAGTGGTGGCACACACCTTTAATCCCAGCACTTGGGAGGCAGAGGCAGGCAGATCTCTGAGTTTGAGGCCAGCTTGGTCTACAAGAGCTAGCTCCAGGACAGGCACCAAAAATTACCAAGAAACTTGTCTTGAAAATCCAAAAAAAAAAAAAAAAAGAATTTCATCACATTTTACTTCTATATCTGCTGAGATGATCTCTATTTTTTCCTTAGTTTATATGATATTATGTTTGTGATTTTTATAGAATATTTAAAAAAATTATGTGGATGGTCTTATTCTTTTTTTAAAAAAATATTTATTTACTCATTCATTATGTATACAGTGGTCTACCTGCATGTGTGCCTTCAGACCAGAAGAGGGCACCAGACCTCATTACAGATGGTTGTGAACCATGGGTTGCTGGGAATTGAACTCAGGACCTCTGGAAGAGCAAGTAGTGCTCTTAACCTCTGAGCCATCTCTCCAGCCCCGGTATCTTATCCTTGAAAGTTAAATCAAACTTGCATCCTAGACTCAGTGGCACGTAATCATGTCGTATTATTCCTTTTTACAAATTGTTGATTTTGACACGTTTACATTTTGATAAGAATGTATCTAAATTCATATTACTCTAAAAGCTTTAGATTAAAAATAATTTATCTGGATGGATGTTTTGTAAGTCTGTGCACATCTTGGCTCGAGGTCAGACCTATTAAAGGTCCCTGAAACTGGAGGTTTGGACGGTTGTGAGCCACCATGTGGGTACTGAGGATTGAACCTGGGTCCTCTACAAGAGTCCCTAGTGCTTTCCAACTGCTGAATCATCTCCCTAGATTCCTAAACCTTCTTTTACTCTTTTATTATTATTTATTTTATTATTTATTAGATCCCTAAACGTTCTTTTATTTTATTCCTTAATGTCTTTTGGTCTTTGTATTTGAGGAATTTTTGCTTAGTAAAATGAAGTTTTCCTCTTCTGAATTTCTCTGATTGGTATTTACTTTGCACAAATGTTTTGACATCTCCAGGAGTGGGGTCTTCTCTCAGGTTCATGTACTACGCTCTACATTACAACCCGCACCTTGGTTTTTGCCCAGTGCTGCCTCTTTCCCAGTCAGCTGCGCTCCATTCTGGAAGTAGGGAATTAGAGAAGAATCATTCAGATCCAGGGCGTCACAAAGTTGTGTTGACCCGCCTCTCAAGATTCCTCCACTTCTCACAGTCCTTGTCTGGGCTCACACCTCCTCTCCGTTAGGCTGGTTGGTTAAGGAGACTGGTTATAGAGCTGCTTTGCTGAGGTGTCTTTGGAGGTTTAGAAGCCGGTTTTCGGATCAAAGCCCAACCTCTTGCAGGCCAATTCTTCACTGAGACAAAAGAAGGTTGCACTATCTCTCTGGCCATATTATCTCTGCTATTCAACAGAAGGTGTTTCACGCCTTTCTGTCGCG